AGGAGGGAGGGAAGGAAGGAGGGAGGGAGGGAGGGAGGGAGGGAGGGAGGAAGGAATGGACAGACAGACGGACAGATAAATGGATGGATTGAACACCAATATCTATCAGCTAACATTACCTGTACTGGCCTGAACTCAGAGCTTTCATTTCCTTTCCACCGAGAAAATAAATGGCATACAATCTTCTCTATGTCATTCCGTGGCCAGAGAAAAAAGTCTACAGACTGAGTAACACCAAGGACATCCTATAAAAAACATGCCAAAAGACAACAGCGATAGTATCAGTAACATGAATCACATTAGAAATATCAGGCAGAAGGTTTTTAATGAACATCATTTGGTTTCACAGGGACTGTAAAGGACCTTTGAAAGTGCTGGGGCTATCTTTTATAGGGGGGTGGGGCTAGTTTTTGATGACAGGGATCATGGAGTACCTTTAATCAACTTATAATCAGTGTACTGTAGATTACGAAGAAATGCGGAAGGGCTATAGCCCAACCCTTTCTGTGGCCCCTATTCTGTTTAAGAACAGCATTACAGCATCCACTATGTTTTGTGATCTAGTTTAACCTCAACCCTTCGCTAAAGTTTCCAAGGCATGTGATACAAGCTAAGATAAGTGCATGATACATTCAAATACCAAAATGTAGGGAGCAATTTGTGAACTGCAGGTTTACTGTGACTTGGGATTCTTCCTTGAAAGGTTTGTGATTCAGGAATGATTGGTTGGATTTCATGAAAGAATAAAAATTCAGTCAAAATTAGCATTCCTTAATGTGATGTTCCCTAAATATGTGATGCATGCATTTTATTGCATATTGATGGGTGTAACCAAACCCCTTGCCCTCCATTCACCATACATTGGTTCACTGGTCAAACACAAAGCGCTCAAGCGAGGCACCAAGGTACTTTCAAAGCATTATTCAAATTTCCTTGCAACCTCGACTGAATGCTTTGTGTTTGATCAGTGAACCTAATGTATGGATCCTGTTATTGCTCTAAGTATTACCTCTCTCATACATTGGTACCTAGGTGCATGTAGTTGGACAACATCTTTTTCTAGCAACTCCTGAGAGCTCTCCAGAGTGTATGCATTCTCCTGTACCAAAATGAAAAACACATTATTCAAATCTTATTATTCAAAAAAAAAAAAAAAAAAAGAAAAGAAACAAAAAAGGGTTTAGTAAAGCAAACCATAGGTCTTGTATATATAAATATTTTCTCTTCACCTTGACACCTTTCATGATACTGTCTTCATAGTTGTTAGTCATGATAGGAATAACTTCTGCTACTTTAAAAAGAGCTGGCTTCTTTTTCTATGAAAGGAGTTTTCCAAGTAAAAAAATGAGATATTAGACAACAAAAAAAACAAATACAAAACATCACCACCACAAGTACAGCGATGACACAGCTCAATGGGGTTGAACTGAAAGAGTGTAAAGGTGTCTCTGGCAGCCACTATTATGTCCTGCCTATCATACATTAGCATATACCAACTTGTGAACTTCCTAAGAATGTGCACACTCATTGGTTAATTGGAGGTGAATATTGTACAATTTTCACCTATGAATCTCGGAATATTGAGTCTGCAACAAAATGGCATCTGCCGGCAATCGTTTTGCTACAATTTCCGATGAGGAAATTAAAAAAATGAAAGTAAATGCCATTCCTATCAATACTAAAAAGGCAACGAAGTATGGCCTAAAAGTTTTGCTAAAAGTTTTGCATGAATTTGTCACGCAAACTAAATGTTTCTGTTTGTTTGTTTTTATTGAATTATTGTATATAAAAATAAGTTACTCTGTACACAAGTTGGTATATGCTAAAACAATTATTCGCCTCAGGCTCAGTGAATATGGAGAATATTTTACCTCGCCGCTCGAAGACTCATGTCTCGGTAAATATTCCCTGATATTCACTATAATTGCTAAATATCTACTGAAGATGGAGGGTTTATTATCGACTGGGTAAAATGGAGGTTTTATAGCTCCCCCTCCACCTTTCCCCCTTTCTTCATCTTACATTCAGTTCCTTAAATTTGGATGTGCACGCAACGTTAAGAAAACAGTCTATCATGTGCTGCGAAACCTAAATAGCAATAAATGTAGCTACAACAAGGCCGCAGCCACCACTTGRACAGTGCTTGGTTTTTTTACTCAACTCTTTAAATAATATTTTTTACAGGGGGGGGGGGGGAAAGGTTTTCTGAAGGTAAAAAGTGGTGTGGTTAAAAGTGGACCAACCATACTGGTGGCTATGGCCCTGAAAGAGCATGCAGCAAATTTTGAAAGCATTATCTCTGCTAACATCTTTACCACCCTAGCTCCACTAACACCACCCCTTGTCTAGCCCCCTCCTCCTTACTCACTGACTTTAAGTTTATATATAACTTTTACTGCAAATTCTAGAATGTTAATCTTACTTTCGTATACCCCGAGGTATCTATTAATGCACTTATACTTAATATTGTAAGCTATGTACACGTTTACGTACAGGTATTGTAATATAAATAGCGTAAAACTCGACAAGAAAAGGTCTTATTTACCTTGTCTTTGAAGACAAATACRACGTACATCTCATACTCAAAATGGTCAGCCAAAGCCTCTCGTTTACGGCGTAATTGCTCTCGAAGACGGTTAACGGTGCTTACTTTCCTCGAGCAAGGATCACTTGAAGGGTTTGCTCCTTTAGAGTTGGGCATTTCAAATGAATTTTAGCAAAAAAATACGAGGTTCCCTYGTTAAATTCAAAGTAAAAGTAACTTGAAGAAAATTTAACGTCTTGCGACGGAAAGAACAGTATTTCTTATCTTACAGGGTCTACCAGCTTCATCTTGCACATACTGTTGGCCTACAGGATATAYTAGGTTATATGAATTCATGAAAATCGCTTTCCTTGTGGATAAAAACCCGAGTAATGTTTTTCACCCTTGCTGTAGAGACTGACAAAATGGCGGCAAGGACGTCATGTTCTCCTTCAAGACGAGGTTTCACACAGGTATCCCATCTGATGAGGAATCGGCCTAATCCACGTACGACTTACATTTTACATTTTATTTATTTCAAAGGCCACCGTATACAATTTGTACATTGGCACATGGCTAAAGAAAATACATTCAATCAAAATCTTATAAATCAAGATCTTATTATGTATGATAAATAGTCATATTATTGTCCTCTTAATTGAAAGCACTCGTGCACATATTTGCAAACGAGGCTTTGGATTTTTTCTGGAGGGTTTAACAAATTCTGGAAAATTTAATTTTCACTCTTTTTTTAAACTTATGCACTAGTCAAAGTAAACCATCACCCCCCCCCCCCCCCCCCCCAACCGGGGACAGGGTGGGGATTGGTGGGGCATTTGAAAAATGAGCTAAGCAAATGTTGGAACATGCCTCATAGTGTTTGTATTCTATCGATCTTCTCCTATTCTTTCAAAACGTGAGGTGGCTCGGCCCAAGAACTATGTTCATTGTTCATTTAATCATATTTCACACCACGCCATGTTTTTACACCACGTAAATTAAAACTTGACTGAATTATATCTTCTGAACTTATCTTCGTTTACTCGTACTGTACTGTCATCCACATTGAAATGTTTTGCTTCTTTTTCTTTCCCTGTTTATCATACTAGAAGCGACAAGTATAAGATTGTATGTTGAAACCAAATATTCTACCGTGGCGATTCGATTTCAATGAGATCGTAATCAATTCGAAGCTCAACCTTTCTTTTGAAAAGAGTGCGTAAAGGGATCCACCAAAAAAGCTTTTCTAACTTCTCTTGTGCCATCCCAGATTTTAAACAAAAGTATTTGGATTTTTTTTTTTTTTTAATTCACAGGCAAACCAGGGTCCAATAGGCACGATCCACAAGCGTWAAATGTTTTGCAATACGCTAATTTATGCAAATTAGATAAGGACCGCTATATTTAGTCAAAAGTCAAATGCCCGCCCATTCTGACATATATTCAGCGTCAAATTCCCCACTCTACGGAACTTGACTATGGTAAAATGCCCGTATAAGTGTGCAACATAAATACCACTAAATACTGCTAAATTATGCTAATCCTATTGTTTTCTATGTTTTAATTAGCACTATTTACTACTAAGTAGTGCAAAGTGTTGCACACTTTTAGTGTTTGTACTCTATCCTGGTAGTTTAATGCTCAGTTACCGGACAATTTTCCGATCTCCGACGCTGCATCTCCGACCCTGAAAATCCTGCCTATGACTCCATCGTACCTAACAGTTGTACTTGAGCTTATTTGGAATCTGAAACACTATTTTCGTTAAGCAAACATTTTGCTTCTTCGCATGATTTACGACAACTATCACTGGCATTATAAACAGGATGAGGCATGGACAGTTCATTTTGCATCTTCGTATCATCAAGAAACTCTTTCCAAACACAGCACCACACACGACGACCCTGGAACTGATTCTTCGCCTTGACCAAGAAATAACCCCGACTTTTACCAGTCTCGKCATCTATAGGAAGCATAGAGCGAAATGCTAGCTCCAGAGGGACCCAGTATGGAGGATATTTAAACCTAGCAGTGTCAAGAATCAATATTGAGTCCGTTTCCTCGTCATATGCTGCTATGGGACTAAAATGCCCCGAGCCAGTCTGCTTTAAGGTTTGGCGATCATACGATATGCCAATAAATGTGCTGGGATTTTCGTGATCTACCTCATAGTCCTGATCACCATCATTCATGGTCTCAWTAGCTCTTCCTTCGGTACARACACAGTAAACAGCTCTTTTGAACTCTTGGAAATCTTTCTCGTCATCTTTCGGCCTAAGTATCTTAYAAACTGCTCCGTTACATGTAGCTAAACATTGAAACTCATCTAGAGTGATACCATATTTCTTTAATAATCCTAGTGGACGATAACAATTCAGTAATTCTTCTGTGAACCATCTCCAAGGAGTTTTCCACAAACGTCGAGGGTCAATCCGCAGTGCATTCAAGATGATAGCCAAAGTTGAAGGACCACAATAGGCTGGTTCTGTTTGAGTATTAAAGCAAGACGAAAGAGATAAAAATGGAACAGCAGTGCCATTAGTTATACAGCGAACCAGCCGAGCTTTTGATTCATTTGAGCGGTAGTCGATGAGATTTTCTGGAAGCTTACGACCATAAAGAGACTCTGTCGCCATTATTGAGCCAGCCGTTAAAGTACACAAGCGTTCCTTCGATATGGCAGAGAGAGACTGTCGAAGCCGTAGCAGGCGACTTAGATTTTTGCAGTACATGTTCGCCGAGCGCCGCCTCCGGTGAGGCTGATTCCGTGACTACGGTCAATTCAAACAAGGCTTTATTGCTCTATTATTTCTCAATTCTACCTCACCATTACGTCATCATTAGAAACACCGACGCAGCTCACACTAGTTTTTAGCTAGTTATATCTTTTCATTRCGTCATATGGAGAACACGTGAGATTGCGCCGCCTGCTCGCTCAGCTCAATGCGTTGTTTGCTCGGCTGCAAGAGGGGGGTTGGTAACGTTACCTTGCATATAGGGGCAATTTCCATAAAAGGCTATCGGTTGAATGTTATGTCATATGAATTGTATACCGCTGCAAGCTAAAACATAGAATATATCGAATAAGGCTGTGTGAATGTAAAAGATTGAAAAAAATCGAACTAAAGCATGTGCGATTTACAAGAGTCTATCGTGTTTGGAGACCGGTTTTAGCGAGAGTGTTTAGCGATTACTGCCTGAATTACACCTTTTGCTGTTCATTAACCGCAAAGGAATATTCATTGAAGCGAAGAAGCATTGTCATTAGAGCGAACAGGCATACAATAAGGCGAACGGAGTCTCAACAGTGCGATGGAACGTTCATTAAGAAATTTAACATTGAATTTGACAATCATGAATATGTTTGCGTGGATTCATTAGCGTTCTTGAACTTTCATTAGCGTTTTGGTGCAGACAATAAACCACAACACACATTCAATACAGTGTTTTGGACATTCATTTACGCAATACGATATAAGTGTATTGTGCTTTTACGATTGTAGATTTTCAAA